TCAGTCTATATAGTGTCATCGACAACTCTCCTAAAACAAGGGTGAGACGTCAGGCCTCTCCGATCATGTCTTCCCTTCTGGTCAGTGGGAAGCGTGGTGAACTCTTACGTAACTTTTCGAATTTTCACCATTTTCTTGAAATTGCCGATTTCTCTACTTCGCTTTCGAGTAGATTACACCCTGAACATCGTCTGGTTAGCCCCGTTGAAGTAAAAATAGCAAATAAAGTATCTCAACTACTACCAGAAACCGAACGCGTAACTGAAATGAAGCTATGACAAAATTAAGGGAAACCTAATATTGTCATAATAGAAATGATAGACAAGGATGCGTTGCGTGGCGGATAGCAATTTACCTCTTTGCTCAATTGCGCCCAAAGAGAGGACATTATCACTGTTATAAATATGTGTTACTTTTACGGACAGGTGTTGTGCGAGCTGTCTGCTCATGCGCAGATCCCGCCAGTAAACTGGGAAAATGTAAACACTCAGTTGGACTATTACTGTGGTGCAAGGAAGAGAAAAATGTAAGCTCTTTCCTGTCAATACCTTTATTTATTTCCCTTCCAAAGACGTTTTTGAAGTAACCGTGATAAACAAGCACTTAAAGCAGTGTTTTCATCGGATTTTAAGGGGCGAAGTAGTGGATTAAAAAATTCCGCGTTTTCTCTAAGATCGACCTTCGAGGTTTTGGAAAATGTGCCCATTGTTTGATATGGCCTCTCGAACAAACAGTTATTTTTTTCAAAGAAATTGAAAGCTATGAAATGAAAGAGTTCCAGTTATCAGTCCTGCCACATGGTATTTGGGCTAGTGATAGAGCCCGAGTAGAAAATACCTCAACTTTTGTCTCGATTCGAAGTCGCTACTGAGCAAATTACCCCGGATGGTTCTAATGGAAACAAGAACGAGAAGTCCGAAGACTACAGCAAAGCTGATTTAAAACAACGTGTATTGTTTTTTATAACAATATTTCGGCTGGCCATACCAGCCTTCTTCAGGTTTACAGATGTTGCTGAACTTATGTAGCAATCACAATATTATATAGATGGAGAATGTGGCAATAAAAGGGAGAGGCGGAAATGACGTACAACATAAAAACTGGAAAGGAAAAATACTAAGGACATGGATTACAATAATTCGTCACGGCGGTTTAGGCCATGAGGTTCAAGAGTCATGGCCTTATCTATCAAATGCGACTCCCTGGCCTTACGAACTGAGTCACGTGAAGAATGAATTTTCTCTAGTGGGATTAACTGCATGTCAGTATGAGAATGGTTAGAGTGAGAGAGAAAAACAATGTAAACTGGAAACAATGTAAACAGGCAGATGAAATACCACAGAACAGGAGAGTCGGACATGGAAGACGAGACGTTCTAGAAGCTCACGTTCTCTCCTATTCTAATTCTTAATGAATTATTAACAAAATGAATACGCTGTAGGGCTCACAACGGTCTTTTCTTCTTAGGTGAACAAAATTATCAACCCTCGTTCATGTAGTCCGCGTAGTACAAGCAAGCTGGAACCCGTGACAGGATCAGTGGTCAAACAAAAGGTAAAGATAGTGCCAAGCTCGCAGGTCCCATGTTATAATGTTTAAAATTGTTTGAATCATAAATTATTGTACGTTTTGTCTACCCTTGGTGCCAGAGGGTTTTTTCTCTTTGAGGGCGACGGAATTTAGTGGCGAAACCGCGAAGGTGCGTTGAGAAGCGGCGAGAGAGAAAAAAAGTCTCCCGCCAATCAGCACTTCAGCACTTCTAAGACCCTTAGCATGCGGGATACGTTTTGTCAGTTACTGCCTTCTAAAAGATACAGTTGTAAACTAATCGGGACACATAGGTGTTCTTACATCCTGGGTTTCTTACATTTAGACGTTTATAAATCCAGGGATTCTTAATTACGCTCAGGGGTTCTTACGTCCATGGGAGAAACATGTGTGCCACAAAAGTGCTTCACTACACTGACATTTGTAAACTAATCGGGACACATAGATGTTCTTACATCCTGGGTTTCTTACATTCAGACGTTTATAAATCCAGGGATTCTTAATTACGCTCAGGGGTTCTTACGTCCATGGGAGAAACATGGGTGCCACAAAAGTGCTTCACTACACTGACATTTTGAAAATAGATCAGTGTGTAATGCCTTATTCCAACAAATTATTGAAGCAAGGTTAAGTGATATTTCGTCCGCTAAACCAACCTCGTTTCCAGCCTTGCCAGCGAGCACTTTCATGGTGCTTGTGATTATTCGAGGACTGTGTTTAGTAATGTAAATGCCCTTTGAGAAGTCGGTAGTTCTAGTTCTCACGGTTTTAGTAACCCACTCATATTTCGAGTTTTTCCAGTTTCATTTACCCTCGCTTTAAGGCAGGAAAAAACTATTGCTATTTATGTTTTTCAGTTTTACTTGTGCCCGTGGTCATTTGTAACAATGCCCTTTTCGTTTTTTCTTTTTCTGTTTGACACTTTCAAGAAAACTGCGTGCGACGAGTCTGCTGAACGCAGTCAAGGAGATGAACCCACACGACGCGAAAAGAATAAATCACTTCCAAATTGGATATCTTCTTTCACCAAGGTATGTATTTTTTCGTACTTACTTTGTGGCGAGTCTCCAGACTTGCTGGCCCTGAATGCGAAGCCGTACCTGCCCTGTTTGCATCTTTTGATTACCCGAAATATATTTTTAAGTGGTTTAAACTTCGGAAGCCGCAGCATTGAAAATTCTGGTAACGTAATTTATTCTACGACTGAAATGCGGGTATTATTCGTTTTTCCTAGACTAGTAGTGACGATGGAGGAAAGCGAACCGCAGATGAAGGTTCAAATGCCAAGTTGTCTCACAAAAGGTATCGTATTATCTCAGGGGCTAGCCTGTACACAGGCGTTGCTTTATTTTTCTTTTCGTTCTTCTGGGAAACATCGGCGAGCGCGCGAGCAACCCCCTTACACTGGCGGTCAATAACTACCCCGCGGTTTTTTTTATCACGCGCGCTCGACGGACTTTGAAGAGAAAATAGAGGGTCTGTGAACAGGACATGGAGGTTTGGGACCCCAACTAGGTGAGGTAACCCGTCTGTCTACTATATATAAATCTCACATTTTAATTTGACCACGATTACACGATAAGTGGGGTAACCCGCCGAGTCGGGTTGCCCGGTCTCCCAGACCGGGTACCTCTCTTAGCCGGGGTCAGATTTTGTCATATAAACGTTGCTAGGTGGGTTATCCCGCCTAGCCGGGGTCGTATTTGTGTTGCATTAAGTTCGCGCCAACTGCCTTTGGTGGAGGCTTTGAATCATTCAAAGTGACAACGGAAGGAAAGCCACAGCATTGAGAAATTGCAGCCAAGACAGTAAGTGAAAGTAGAAGACCATTAACCGCCAAAACACGTCGTTTGCCCGCCATTTTTTGTTTACGTGATTAGCGACCATTCAATTATCTTGAGAAAGTGCCCCCGGGATAGCGGGGTTGTAAGATTGCGTTGCATTTTATGGAAACAAGACCTCAGATTTAAGTAACCTGCGTAGCAGTATTTTTTGTTGGGATGCAGGGATGAAAAATTGCGGTCAAGCCTCGGGAGGGAAATTGGTTCTTCACCCTTCCCTAATCATCATCGCGCTGCACTGATGTTGCCAATTACAAAGGCTAACTTGAGGACAGACCTTCCTTGATCTCAGCAATTTCGTTTATTGTAGGATGAAAACGAAAAAAAGCGAGAATACGTTTTACTGCTTGAGTCCCGAGGAGCTGCTTCAAACTGCTGAAGAAATACTGCAAGAGGTAAGAACGTGACGGTGATGTCGGTTTCGCCTGGTCTTATGTTAATACTAACTATTCTTTTTTCGTAACATTGACTTTTGGCGTTAGTACCATGTCTCTTACAATAAACAGCATGGAAATAAGCCGTTCAATGCCAAGGACCGCAGAAAACATTCAACAGCCGACAGGGAGTCCCGTGCGAAACTAAAAAATCTTTCAGCACCACAGTCTCAAGGAAACACTGAAAGGTAAAAGGAAAGAGACGCCGTCTTTTCTTCTGTTTGTTCTTATTATTTTTATAAAGCAAAGCTATGTTCCTAAGGGACGGACCACTAGAAATAACCAAAGGGGGGTGAAAATTTTTTGGTGCATGAATTTTTTTTAAAAGCCCGCTTGTCTGCAGGAATTTTTTTCTAGAGCACATGACTTATTGTTTTTAGGTATCACCGCTTGCAGGATTCTTTCTTTAGACAAGTTTCACTTGCAGGAATTTTGTTTGGGGAGTTGTCACCCCACCTCCGGTTATTTCCAATGGTCCGTCCTTATTTAGATGTGTCGCTCAAAATCCTCAAACTGAAACTTTAATGGCAACGAAGAGAAAATTCCTCTCAAAATTCTTTGCGGTAGTGATGCCAGTAAGAGCAACCCAAGGTAAAGTTGATAGACTTGTGTAGATTCATCTATTCAGTAAATTTAAATTATGTGCAGAATTTTCAACTTAAAATCCATATAAAATTGAAAACTAATGAACTTAAACTGAACGCATAACCACCGGGGAGGGGGGAGGGGAGGGGATGGTAGGCTCCAGGATCTCTCGACAGTAGGGACCATAAGCAACGACGACAACGACGGCAGTGTAAACGTCGCTAAAAAAATGAATTTGCGTTCTTTCAAACTTAATCTCGTCTATTTGGACCCGCTCAATATGTCAAATGCAGGCGACTTTTCCTGGAGTTGAATTCTTAAGGATTTTATTCAGGTTCAAAAAGGGGAAGGAAAATTCGTCGTCGTATGTCGGCGTCCTCAATTAAACGTCCAGTTAGGAGGTTTCACGTCGTAGTCGTGCAGTGAACTTTCAAGAAGTGTACTAAAAAGCGTGATGCACGTGCAGAGCTGTTGTTTTGATTATTAAACCCATTGTTTTATTTAAGTTGTCGTCGTCTTCGTAGTTGCTTAAGCTCCCTTATGAGCAAGACTTCAGTTGGGGTCGAAAGCCGTTATTAGTTTTCACTCTCATCTGGATTTTAAGTTCAAAATTTTGCTACTCAAAATACCAATCGAAAGAGAAAAAACGGTAGATAAGAAGGGCAAGGAGGTCTTTATTGGCTTTAGTTTTATATGTACTTTATTGACTGGTCATGAAAATTTTGCGAGACCCCGTTAAGACCTTCATTTATGCAAATACCAGCTCTGATGCGACTTCGTTCCCAGGGTTCTCTACGCTACTCGTCCCCTAGACGAGAGAAGACAAGTAGGGGAGAACCCTCAAAAAGGAGAATGCTTTTTACAGGGAGAAATGTAGACGATAATCTTTACGAATAAAACCTTAGGAACATTTCGTTAATAAAAACCCAGTCACAGCTCAGCGGTAGAACGACTTGAGCGGGTTTTTGGGAGGTCATGGGTTCAGATACCATCTTGGACTCTTCGTCCCACGTCACGTGACGTAATCGAACGTGCTGGGCGTGACCATACCTCCTCGTTCTTTGGTGTTGCAATGATTCCATTTTCGTTTCTTGTTTGCAGAACAAATATCGCTTCCTCTGTGGACGGCGATTTATTGATTAAAGAGACGTTTACAGAAAAAAGCCTACCAGATGCTCGCTCAAGTGATTTGACTGGTGGTTTTGTTGTTCCCGAAACTGTTACAACTATTGAGACACAATCACATTGTAAAAAGGACGATAGTATGGGCTCAAATGTATCGTCTTTAATCGCGGCAGAAAATGGTAGTTGTGAGCAAGAAAAATACCCGGACTTAAAAGACAACAAAAAGCGTGGCAAACAAGTTAGGACATCAATACTGGATGACTTTATCTGATAGAAATTTATAAAGTAACGACTACGTGATTGCACGAAAACTTCAGTACAACCAATGTACTCCCAGACTGGACTTATCAGGCTTATTGTCAAGGAGTTGATTTATTAGATAGATACGACACTTAGTGGAAACCAGAGGCGGCGGAGCTTTTTGAAACGTACGGGAGGCTCATCTTCCACCGAGCCATGCGCATACCCCTACACAAATTTTCCAAAATGTCCTTTGCGTTTTTTCTTGGCACCAGCAAAACTCTTTACAATCTTCACAGTGTTTAGTGTTTCCGTAATCAATTTGTGACAATGCATCAGTAGTCAGTTGTTCAAGCGGTCCTGCTTCATGGTGTTTCTTATGTAGTTCATGATTCGTCTCAGGGCAGAAGCGCTCTGAAGTCGCCGATTTCACGGGTAATGCCAAATACATTCCGTAAAAGTGTTTTTCAGCATTAAAAACGTAGGGGGGGGGGGGGGGGGCTCCGCTTCCCCCTCCCGCCGCTTATGGTGGAAACAGTTTTTATCTTAAAATTAGAAAGATGGGCCATTTTCACGATGATGTCATGTTTCTCTAGCTTCCAACGTTCACTTTGTATTTGCTGGCCTTTCAGGAACATTTATCTGAATCCCCTCGAAGTTTTCGGCAACAACAGTCCAAAAAGGCCTTTTCCGACTTCCAACAAATTCGCATTTTCAAAACGCGGCTAAGTGCAAAACCGTTCTTGGGAAAATGAGTTATTTGCACGAGAATAAAAGAATCATTTTCCTATCAATGGCTTCACAATTTGCAACTCGGAAATGGCCTATTTATTTGCACAAGAAAACGAACGGAAGGAATTCGGGTAGATGTATAAAAACAGTCGTCATCGGCAAATTAAAAGAGGATTTGTGTTGGAGTGCTTGTTAGTGCAGGTTCCCGTACAATCTAAACACACAACGCACTGAGAGGCATGTAATTTTAAATAACTGGCATCCTTAATCCTGTATTATATATTCTTTATTTCTATTGTGCCATATAAGTTCGAACTGAGCTATCTAAGACAGTTTTGATTCGCAAATGATTGAAATTGTGCAAACCGAGATTAAAAAGCCATTAAAGCGAAAAACACCTTTTTTCAATTAATTAGTAGCACAAGCGTGGATAATTATGACCTTCGAACAGTTCTTCTGATTTTGCGAGAAGGTCATTGAAGTGCGCAGAAATAAGATCGCGTCATCGCAGTTTAGAATAGTTACGATAATGGTTAAATGCATGAAAACAGCAAGGGTATTTACACGTTACCTAGAATGTGACATGGTATGACGGAAAGCTCGAGAACTTATCCGAGGAAGTGTCAGTGATGGAATGGGGATCAGAGTAAAACTGCATCATTTTCTGTGGTTTTTGTTTTTCTTATTACAAATGCTTTGATGATAATGGACGTGTGTTATAACTGGCATTTTTGTAATATGTTTGCACTAAGAGTAAGGTCCGGCGATCAAAGTTGTTGTGGTTGTTTTCCTGTCTTGTGGCTTGCACATCTTTGGGTTATGTTTTACCGAAATTGTCTTTTTTATCACCCTTTGGTTTAAAAATCTTTTCCTTTATTGTTGCGTACACATCTTGCTGTTGCCCGGCCTTTTGAACATTGTCTCTCAAGCGGTGACTGTCATTTCCCAGGGGACGGTACAGTGCCACCACAATGACGTACTTACCGCTGGGGCTTGGCGCTGCCCCCATGCCTAGCTGATTGGTGTCTTTCCATATCATCTGTGTGAAGTGCTTTACTTTGTCATTGAGAACTGGATAGGAGAAGCTGTACGCCTTCTTCTCACCGTACCATATAGTAGTGGCCTTGAGAGGTGCCCTCTGCAGATCGTGCCATATCTGTGCGATGTTTTCACCCGCTGGCTCGCCTTGGAAAGTGGATGGGTCACTGGCTACAGACTCTGCTATATTCTGCGCTTGTTCTGCTAGCGTGGCATTCCACTGTAAAGGGAGGACGTGATGAAGTGATCTGAATTTGTTGTGAGCTGTGAGTGCCTCTTGAAATATTGCATCTGTTTTGGAAAGAAAAGGACCAGCCATCATACATACAACAAGGGCCCTATCTGTTGATGAAATCCTGAATACATGTAGGTATCAGTTAAATTCGGGAGATCATCATTACGAGTTTCATTTGTCGAGATCCGAAACTAAATATGACAACGTGTGAAATGAACGGGCCCAGCTCTTTGAATAAATTTGACTCACGTTTAAGAAACGTATGGTCTTTGATGCCTTTGGATGTGGTAAGAAATAATGTGCAAACAAGAAGTATCGTTGGTGATGTCCAAGTGACGAATAAGGTTATTGGCAACCGTAGATAGATTTAATAGCTCCTTGTAATACCAAAAGAGGATTACGGGCAAAGCATTAGTTTTTTAAGCCACCTTTCCTGACCGCCCCCCGTTGTATGCTGTCCAATACTTACTCCTTTCGGGAGTGTTACTGCGGTAAATTCCAGTCCCATTGTCGTTACTATCGTTCTTTTTTGCCGTTGCATTGTTAGTTTTGTAACTAGCTTGCGTATTTCTGTTATCTTTATGTCTCTTCTGTTGATCCGCTGGTTCCTCAGCTATGTAAATCTCAAGAGATTTTCGTGAGCCATCTTTGGTTAATAACATGCACATGCAGGGAAAACAAATGTCTCAAGCTACAGTCAAATGGGCAACAAAAAACATGCAACTTGGATTGCAACATTGCTGCAAAACGAGCTGAATAGCGATGTGGTGCGTCTCACCACCAACGTTCGAACCTGTCTAGCAAAAAGTAACATTGCAAGCTTTTTTTCTTGGGTGGTAAGACGCGCAAAATCGCTTTTCAACTAGTTATGCAGGAATAATGTTGCAAAACAAGTTGGACAATTGTTTGAACCGGGCAACCCTTTCCACGGCACCGCTGAAATTCTGTTACATATTGCAGCGTGACTGTACGTAACCTGAGATCAGGCTCTATTTTTGTTTCTCTTTATGCGGGATAGTTTGCGTCTTATTTAGGACGCGTCTAAGGAAAGACGCGTCTTATTTTGTGTGAACGGCTTGTTACCGTTCATACCGTCCCGGAACTCTTTTCATGTCGGCACGATAAGCTATCCGGTACGGCATGGACACAACCTTTAAAGACAGCTATAAGGGGCCAAGTGGGTTTTGATTTTTTTTATCGCTCTATTAGATTTATCTGTAGACTAACAGACTTTCATCGTTCAGTCTGTTTCCCTCGTTCCCGTACCCGTAATCTTTCTACCCGATAGCTAGTGGCCCATCGCGGGGGGTTATGCTGATATTTGTTGTCGTCTCATTTTGTCAGCCCAATTATCATCATTTGGACTTTTTGAAGGCTGTGTGTCATGTGTCGGTTTGGAAAGAGATTTATAAAAGTTATACAGTCTTTCGTCATACTGCGTGTAACTATGCCGAGAGTCTTAGTGCGTTTGCTTAGTTACTGTTGAAGGAAACTCACCTTCTGCAACGGAGTCATCAGAGGGGTATTCCGTTTTTTTGTCGTCCTCACTCTGTACAGCGGCTGCTAGTAATCCTTTATTCTTTTGTTTGTTTATCTCTTTTCCTATAAACGTCGTAGCAGCTGGTTGGGTATTTAAACGAGAACGACATCAAGAAATATGAATTAACTATTAGTAACTACACTGGTGTAGAGGAAAACATTGGTTGCCCTGTGGTCTGTAGAATGAAACAGGCGCATGGGCAATAGAGAAAAGAAGTGATGACGTCACAAATAACTTTCTGAAATTATGGGGTTGGTTAGAATATCCAGGAAGAAAACGGTTCTATCTGGAGTGGCATCACGTCAAGGCGGTCGTATTGGTGTACAAAATAATAAAACTGCGGCCATGTTGGTGAACAGGAAAGTCCTGTGCGAATCGAACTTTTTCTCATGTAAAAACTTTTTTGTTTTATGAAATTTACCAAGCTGCCGACCACGTGAGGCAAAATTATCTATTCTTGGTTTGCATCTACGTGACAAGGCGGATATATTGGTGCTCAATAGAATGGAATTTTTCTCAAAGAATTCACGTGAAAATGGAGTTTAATTCTCAGAGGGAAGAAACGTTTTTGTTCTTGAGTACCAAAATAGCCGCCGTGACGTCAAGTGCAAACCAACAATTTGCCAGGAATTACTGTTGGATACTTTAGTCACCTGGTCGTCTTTCCTCCCTGTCATCTTTATCCCTATAGGGTCGCATAGTGTCGAACATTTCTTCCTTGTTACTGTCTCTGCTTGTTACTTCACTTAGCACATCAGTGACGGGAGATTCATCACTCACTTCAAATTCGCGTGATTCTTCTGTTCCATCTGCAAGGACAAAGAATTACCGTATTTATTCGAATAGGCGCCCAAACTCGAATTAGCGCCCACCTCGAATAAGCAAACACCCCAACCCTACCCCACCCCACCCCTCCTCCCACTCCTACTCAAACTCAAATAAGCACCCACCTGCTTCCCCCTACCACCCAAAAAAATGAATAAGTACTAATAAGAGACTTCCCCGACGACGGAGTTTTTTTCAGAGTGTTTTGCAGAAACGTTGCTTTGTTACATTCACGCGTTTTGTTATTACCATTTACTGTTTTGTTGCAAAGTATACATACTACACTTGTTGAAAAGGGTGAAAATTTTATAAGCGCCCAGCCTCGAATAAGCGCCCACCTCGAATAAGCGCCCACTCTCAAGGTCCAAAAATTTAATAAGCGCCCAGGGCGGTTAATCGAATAAATACGGTAAGTCAGCGGGGACTTTTTGTGGCTGATTCAATACAGCTGATTCTGATCATGGGGCCCAAATCTTCCATGGGATTCATTTAAGTGCTCAACATCTGGTTTACTGTATACTATAATTCCCGCCGCTGCTGCGGCTGCCTTAATAAATCGGCCAAACTGGACCCACTTGTGAAATAACACTTCATAAGCGTTACCAAGAGTGCGCAACTCTTTCCCGTAGTAGTGCTGGATGATGCCCTGATGATGCCGTAGATCGGCGCAAGCTTGGATTTCATTTTTATGGTAAAAAAAAAAACAGTTTAAGACCTCATTAGATCAATATTGTTATTTCTATCATGCTGCTGAAGGGTAACATAAACGGATTAATCTTTTAAGAGTTTAAAAGTGCTTCGTGGGTAAACAAATCAGTAACAATTGAAATTATGCATAATTTAAAGCTTTTGGTCTAAACGTTACTCTGTACCTTCTTCAACTGGTCTTTGAACCTCAATTCTTCTGTTACCCTGGATTTCTGGATGGTTGGGTGATTGCGTCTTTTGTTTGAAGACCCCTCCGGTATTTACCGGAACGCCAGAGCTCTTTTTTCCGGTATTTATGTCGCCGGGTGAATGGTTTGGTTGGGTGATATTTGTGCCAAGAGCTAGTTGTAATAAACCAGGGAATAAACAGGAAGTTTGAATGGTACAAAATGCAGTTTTGAAGATTTTAAAAGGACAGACAATTGTATAACAATGTTAATGGCGGTACAAACAAAATCTTGCAGACTATGTTTCACCAAGCTCAGTTTATTGCGAAAAGAGCTAATTAACCCTCAAATCTGTTAGGTGTACAACAATGTTTCTAACGTAAAGGATTACAAATTGCAAAAAAGAAACGACTCAGAGGACGGATACTCAGTGTCTCCTGGAAGAAAGTCAGACGAACTGTTGACGTTTGGTGTTAAATAGCTACTTTGACTGGGCTACTACTTAACTTCCGGCAAGTTGCTACAAGTGATACAAGCCATGCGTATGAAATGTTTGGTCGATTACTCTCTGTAAATTTCATGGTGTAGTATTAGTTGGTTACCTTAAAAAGTAAACATTCTCTAAAAGAATTTTAACGTTTCTCTAAAATTTCCGAGTTTCTTAAGTTTGTCATTTTATGAAAGTGTCAAAATTGCTTAAGATTTCTGAGGAAGAAAAACAAAAATTCGTTTATGGGGGCTGCGTCACCGATGTCTAGTTCATTATGTCAATATTGCAAATTGCCTGTCCTTATTATAGCAAAGAAATTACTAATAAAAGAAAAAATTACAGCTTCTTGTCCAGTACATTTACCAGCCTGACAAAGCGGGCCAGCCCGGCTAACTGGGATGGCTCACCCCATATAAACCGGCCCTAAAAATACGAGATGGTCATGTTTATAATTTTGTGGTGCACTACTTACCTTTTTGTTAACGTGATTTTAGTCCGCGGGTGGGGTCAGTGGGTAGTCCGCGGGTGGGGTCAGTTTTTCAACTCTCCCGTTTCTACTCCACTATTGAACTTTTTCAAGCAGGAAGTTCTTCACATTCTGGGTTGCTCTTGGCCCTTTCCTTTGCTTCTTTGCCCTGGAGTGGTTCTTTCCTCGATAAAGTGACCGTGCCGCTGCCTTCTTGTGTTACTCCTGCTTTTCCAGCGAAGTGCGATAGTTGAACTCCTGTCCTTTTCTGCCCACTTTTTCGTGCCAAATCGTAAAAGTACTTTCACGTTCCATAACCATGATATGTCGCCCAGTGTCCATGTGAACTTGTAGATCGCTTTGGGTAGGAAAGAAGGCGACATCCTTCCTCTTCCACAAAAGATCCTCATATTACAGGACCTTTTGTTTTCGACATCAAACTTGGCTGAACCTTTGCCTTGTTGGTCGTAAAGGGATAATGACGCGAAGACATGTTGGCCTTGCAGACACTGAGTTAGGTTCTCATATAAAACAGCTGTCCCTCACCGACTCCATAAGCCTTCCACGCCTTGATTCCTGTAGTTAAAAACTCAAAATTGAACAACGTACTTATCCTTTCCATTCTACCGTCTCACTCCTTTGAAATATCAACCTCCGATACTGCACCCCACATCCACGCACTCCACCATGAGAATCCAGCGCTTCCTTCATGTCACCTGCAGTAATTACATCGTGCCTTTCATCGACCCATCTCTGGATATGCCCTTTCATCGGTGCTATTTTGCGATCACAAAATGTCCTTCCCTGACTGTGGGTCAGAGAAGTCAAATCTTCGAACGAATTCCTGCTCTTTCTCAATAGATTTGAGAGAAGTAATTAATGAGGCATTGTGGTAGCAGCCTGCGTTATCAGATTTAAGATAAGCCGTCGATACATTTTTGTGCTCTTCTTTAATAGTTGAAAGGAGGTGCTCCAGAATCAGAAACAACAGAAAACCAGTCTTGGGTGCAAGTATCGAAGACACATGAACGAAGGTTTCTACCGAGTGACTTTCACTACCAGACCTGAAAATAACACAAACAACATGCCAACTCTTCCCTCGTTTACCATAAAAGTCGCTAATTTGTTCTCTGTATCTTTTCGGAAGGTGTACCTTCATGGCCCAGTCCATTATGATTACGCTGTCGTCAGTCAATGCACTGAGAACGTCCTGCTTGGCTTGTTCCTGGTTAATGGATCGAAGAAGATGAGCTTTCAATCGTGGATTGCCTCCACTGCATGGGTAAGTCGAACGCCACTCTGCTGTTGGTCTGTGAGAGTCACATTTGGACAATTTATCATGTTCATAATGTTACTGAGAACTTCATCAGTTGCAGCAATAGTTGCATAATTCATTGTGAATGTGATCGCACTGCTGCCTGAAGGCCTGGGTTCTGAAAGACTAAAAAGTGATCGCATCTCCCTCTTGTCCCACGTGACTTTTGTAATCGGTTTTCAAATATCTTTTTGGTCTCCTGCAGCGTTTTAGACATCTCCCTAGCCCAAGTGGAATCAGAAGGCCTCCTTTCTCAAGAGTATTGACGACAATTTGGAGGATTTCAAACGCTTGTGCTCCTTCCGTTGAAAAAAATAATCAGCCCCTGCATTGATTTCTGCTTGGAAGCGGAACAAACGTCAATTATCCTGTACAAAGTTCGTTCACTTGCAGGTTCAAAGCCTGTCTCTTGGCAAAACGAGATGTATTGTCTTATTAACCGGGAGGAAACCATTGTCCTGATTACGTTTGGAATAGTGATTTTTTCTCCCGAATCAAGCTTCAGTTCCCTAGTGCCATAAGCAACGTCCTGAAGGAAATTTGGTCTGGCGATAAAGTTCACAAAGTGGCCTGTCTTTACGGGATCAAGGCGTGTTCGTTTTATCGGTATCGGTACTGCATGACGCCGAGCACGATCGATTTGCCATTTACTAAGACCTGGAATCATCTCCCGGGTTCCTGTTTCGAAAAAATGTCTGAAGAAAACATAGAGAGAATTTGTAGTCGAGTATGACGACTTTCAGATTGAAAGCAAAATTGGAATTTCGTTGCTAAAAAGCATTTTTCCTTAACATCATCATGGGTTTTCTCTTGAATGTCATAAGGCTTCAAATACTTCTTCTTGATCGGCAATTGTTGAGAGAACCGCAGAGAAAACCTGGCGTACTTTTCGCAAATAATAACATTTTTGTGAGCTTGATGTACTTTCCCAGTTCGAACAGAGAGACGATGCTATTGGACTAACTCTTCCCTCTGTGATACGTGAAATGGCTTCATTCAAAACTATGCGACTTTCCTGATGACTTTGTTCTTCATCTATCTGACTTCCTGATCTTCGTCTTCAATGCACAAACGGTTCTATCAAAGGTGATTTCAACCTCTTCGTGTCGTGAAGTTGGATCTGATGAAACTTCCAGAAAAGCAAATGCAGCGTTTAAATTTGTTTCTTCAGCCTCTTCCACAGGACTTATTTTGCTTCCAGTGTCATTACTTTCATCTCCTTGTTCCTAAAAATTGTGTTAATTATACGGTAACTTACTTACTTGTAGCAAACTTGCAACTGACGCGTGGATTAAACAAATGATCTATACTAGTCATCAAATTTCTCTCAAAAGTTTGAACGCTACCTTTAGCGACTCTCCAACGACAATCCTTATTCATCTCTCACCCGTCTTCGTAAAAAATACTCAAGAATGGTGATACAAATCTTTGCGATAATTTATCATAACCTTCTAAAATTAACATAATAAAAATCGATAGACTCAATTCGCCTTTTATTTGAAAAATAAATATTTCTGTCACATGTCCCGTTATGGTCAATTCCGGGAATGTAATGCAACGTGAACAACGGAATTATCTCTTTCCGTTATTGCACTGCTGTTCCTCGTATGACCGTGACCGGGATGATGAGTCAAATTGATTTCACGAATACAATGGAACCTCGATATAACTGACGATGGTTAAGGGAATGCCAATATATGCTCGCTATACTAAACCACATTTCGGGGGTTATTTTCCATGGACGTTACTCTTTACTGGTGTGAAAAATATCGTTTGTTATACCGAGGACGTAGTAATAAATGCTTTCGTCATATCGAGTTTCCACTATACTTTTAGGTCACGTGACCCTGATGTGCTATAATTACCCGCGGGAGACTCCCATTCGAAAGGGGCGGGGATGCTCGTCGGAAATTTGGAATTAGACCCCTAAAGAAGACCAATCTGGGCGTGGTCCAACCTTTTTTTTTTACCCCTGAAAGCGATCATTTTAAACTTTGATTACATGAATCGAGTAAATAAAACGAATTGAAAATACATAATTTTTTAACATTTCTTCAAGTGCAACCCTAAAAGAGACCTTTACGGCTAAATATAATGGTGTCTTGCCCAGAACACCCTAAGCGAGACCAAAATCCCCAAATTTACACCTTTCCCCGGGTATAATTATTCATTGAATTTTTTATTAATACCCTTTCTGGCTAAGGGAAATATTTATGAAGACGGTCCAACTAACATGCTTCGGTTTACAATTTAATAAAACATTCCTATCTTATTTTACACTGCTTTTGATTATCGTTCCGAGATCATTATAGACGTGCTCAACCGCCTAGCGATGTAAGCTTGGAAATAAAATTCTTCGAAAGACTATGAGAATTAAATTGCCTTGCTTTCAAAGACAACAGTTTCATATTCGGAGATTACTACTTAACTTCTGGCAAGTTGCTACAAGTGATACAAGCCATGCGTATGAAATGTTTGGTCGATTACTCTCTGTAAATTTCATGGTGTAGTATTAGTTGGTTACCTTAAAAAGTAAACATTCTCTAAAAGAATTTTAAGGTTTCTCTAAAATTTCCGAATTTCTTAAGTTTGTCATTTTATGAAAGTGTCAACATTGCTTAAGATTTCTGAGGAAGAAAAACAAAAATTCGTTTGTGGGGGCTGCGTCACCGATGTCTAGTTCATTATGTCAATATTGCAAATTACCTGTCCTTATTATAGCAAAGAAATTATTAATAAAAGAAAAAATTACAGCTTCTTGTCCAGTACATTTACCAGCCTGACAAAGCGAGCCAGCCCGGCTAACTGGGATGGCTCACCTCATATAAACCGGCCCTAAAAATACGAGATGGTCATGTTTATAATTTTGTGGTGCACTACTTACCTTTTTGTTAACGTGATTTTCCACATTCAAGATTTCATGTGTTTTTGTTTACTTACCATTTGCTTGTAACAGGAGTGACAAGAACAGCAAAAAACCATAGCTTATTAACGCAAGGTGATTGAAACTCATTGTACTATCCACCAAACCGAGGAGCCTGAGAAAAAAACAAACTTTCATTGTGTCGACTGACTCACCTTTACCTGGCTACCAACTGCAGATGTTTAAATTTATTTTTATCGATATTTTGTCGTAGCTTTTAAGTCTTGTTTGTGTAGAAATTGAAGCAATTAACTGCCGTTCTTCAGTTAAATCTTACTGGTGACAGCTACGGACACCAAACGTGCCTTCAATTGGTGAAGCTTCTCTGTTGCTTATTGTCCACTTCTTTGTCAATTAAGACCAAAGTACCTAAATGAGTACCAAAATATAGCTAGATACCTTTCCTTCAAACCCATGAAAACTCCATTCTGAGATGTACAAGAAAATTCAATTGCAAGGCCAACTTATATTACATCATCTTGTTGTCTTTAGCCCTCACAATACAAAAAAAAAGCGAAAAAGCTTGTGAAGTCGAATGGCAAATGTGCTAGTTGGTTAGCCAGTAGGAAAACGATTTTGTGACCTCTTAGCTTGGTTTGCTATTCGGAGGATGGTAAACGGCAGGTCGCACTTCACAGATCAACGATTCCCCGAGTTGCTATTTTGAACAACAGTAAGAAATACATAAGAAACATCTTACCTGAGCGAGTGTTCAGATCTTTTATTGGATTTTTTTATTTCTTTTTCCTCTTCTGATTAAAAGTAGTCGTCAATTTTTTGTTAAAAGAACATACTTAAACGAATAATTTTTTTCAGTTGGATGACCAGCTGGAAATTCTTTTTTTGTGTCAGGGTAAACGTCGAAATCTTTTTGCATTACATTATTGTGGTACCTCCCACAGGATTTGATTTTGGACAAGATATTTCTTGTGTTACCCCGCCTTCCCCCGGCTCCACAGCAGGTAATCAGTCAATATTTTCTTAGGAAATCAATAAATTGGGGTTTAAATTGTCCTTCAGTCATCAGTTCACAACAATCACCTGAATAAGTTGGCTACAGTAGCTTCATTTGGTGGAAGCTTTTCCCTTTGTCCAACGAAATATCACAGCCACAAGAATTGCAGGTCGGTAAACTTGTATCAACTTTAGTATTTCGTCACAGAAGCCGGATAAACACAACGCAATCACCATTTACTTTACTCATCTTAACGTTGAATCGTAATGGTGGAACACCAGTTCCATTTGAGCACGACGAACGAGAGTGATCACCGGCCGGTAGGAAAAAGGTTCTTCTTTTGATTATTTCATACAATATTCTATACCCTTTTCATTCATTTCTTTGTTCAGTTTAATATCGTATTAAAAAATGAAAGCGCGAGTGAATCCCTTAAAGCCTTGGCTTTATTTCTAACAGTACACACGGTACATGCACTGACTTACTTATGGCGCTTTCCATTTGTCAGAACTGGCCAGCTGGACCAGTCATTTTGACAATGAAATTGGCTTTTTCCAAGGGTTTTTGCCTAAAAACCATCCCCTTCCTGCACACTCTTTAGGATTTGACTAATCTGGCCGAATAGGTTTGATTAACAGTGAAATTCTCATTATATCGGGAAGGGTCTGGCTGGCCGTTCTGACAAATGGAAAGCGCCCTTAAACATTTAGAAAAGAATGATCTTTATTAAATTGAACCATTTGGTAGGAATATCCTTGAACCTCGCTCGTTCAATGTGCTTCTTGTCTGCCGTTCTCTCACCCTTTTACCAAAAAACTGAATTTCATCTTACTGATGGTGTACTGTAAAGAAACTGATTTAGTGATTAGTTGAGAATGGGTTCGGTTTTGATTGAAAAAATCCCCATTTTAAATAAAGGTTTATTTAAGAAAGTCTGCAGAATAATCGTTAATAATTCTACATATTTCATTAATAAATTTTTTTTTACTGTACTCAATTTCAAAAAGGACATTTTGCAAGCGGACAGTTTATGGTTGTACTGACTGTACTTTTGGCCCTGAAGCATATTTCCTCAGTGCACAATATATCTAACAATGCTATTAGAATCTGCAAATTGCACATAGATACCGATCGTTTTGTTGTTTGGCAAAGTATTCACAGTTACTGGACATCACCATCACCATCGTTATCGTCGTCATTTTTAGGAAACTTTTACAGCGCTTCTTCGTTTCCTTTTGATTGTGGAATAAAGGTCATTCTTCATTCCAGGTCGCAGAACATTTTGTTGTAAATGTCCATTGCCTTCAATAAGAGGCGGATTGTACAACGCAACCACAAACGCGTTATCTCCATGAGGGCTTTTTGCAAAAGCTAATCCCATTTCTTTGGTGCCTTTCCATACAATTTGCACAAAATGTCGTGTTTTGGGGCTTATTTTAGGATACGAATAACTATACGACTTTATTTCGCTGTACCATTTGTCTATTGCCTTTTTGGCCAAGTGTTCGTCTGTGTATTGAATCTGAGATAGACTTTCCCCTTGTGGCTCCTGAAGATCATCCAGTGTAAGAAAATCCTTTGTGGCCAGTCTCTGAGCAATCTCTTGAGCTTTTCTAGACAAGTCATGTGACCAAAGAAGGGGAGGTGAGAAGTGCCTGGCCCTCAGCTCGTTGTGTTCCTCCAACGATTCTCTCTCCAAATCATCTAAGAAAAAAAAAATGAGTAAATGAATATATTAGGTAAAGAGAAATTGTCCTGTCTTTTATGTCTAAGTGGAACTAAGTGAAGGTAACTCAACAAGGCCATTTTTAAAATGTGAATTTTTTAACATTAGACATGCAGTTGTAGCTATAACCCACAGTCAAACAGCTGGTCACCGGATTTGTCGAGACGATGTTGAACTTTTTGTAGATCGTGTCATTTCAAAAAGTATCAGTTCCAACAAAATTAATGTAAAAAGATGATTATTTCAACCATTTTAAAAAGAAAAGTGGTTACACTACACTTGCACGAGACCAAGAAAGGTGGAAGGGTGTGTCGCCCGACCCTAACGTTTCGAGGATAAACAAAATGTTGAGAAGTTGTTTATAAGAGAGCTTGAAACGAGTTTTAATAATTTTTCATTAAAGTAGTAGCGACAATGCTCCGGCCGAGATGTATGGGTGCCGTTGTCCCATTTTATTTTAATGGCTGATGTACCTGCACAAATACTCCTCTGGCAGCTTTTTGTCTGAAACAAATCCTTTTGAGAGCAGGATGTCACGAGGCAGATTCGTGCTCGAAGAGATGTTCCCTTCCCACACGTCACGGAGCAAGTTGACCAATCATTCCACTCACTAAACATAAGATCTAATAAAGAGCTCTAAGTTACTGAGTGTATTTCATGGAAACATGGAAATCCTATTTTACTGTACAGGTTATACATTTACTGGTTGTTAAACCCTCAACGTCAATATCTAGTGCGTAGATGAATTAAATTGACTACATGTATATTCTTTGGTGTAAGTTTACTGTACACATGGATCTTTGAAATAACGAAGTTACCTATGTGTCTTTTTAAGTGGGAAGAAGGAAGATCCTAGAAGGCAGAACATCGTTTCGATGGGTTTTCATGCAAAACATTTCAGTCCGTGTGGTGCTCAAGTGGAGAAGGATCGAGAAGGAATTAGATGGGCGGGCGACAAAAACAAAAATGAAATTGGCCCCATCTGCTCTCTTTACTGACGTCAATAACTACCTTTTAGCACAATTATCACAAAAATCAGCTCGTTGTAACACCAAACGAAATGGTCGGCCTTTTACCGTGATTAGCTTCTGAACGACCCGCTGCCATTTTTGTCTGGGCTGTCGCTAGTACTAGGATGTTCCTAGCGAAGGCAGTTTACATGGTGCTAGGATCTTCATACCTCTAAGCCAGGAAGATTTTAGTACTAGGAAGATCCTAGCGCTAGGGACAAGTACAACCCATCACATGTAAACTGAATACAGAAAACATATGGCGCAAGCTAAAAGGATGATCCTCCTTCTAGGATCTTCCTCCCTCTATGGACACAGCCCCTAACTATTAAGTACGATTGAGATTTCTAGAAGCGAAGATGAATTCATAGAAAAACCTAAGTTTTACTTCGATGTTCATTTGTTGTTTTACCATTACCTCTTATTACATATTTTTAAATGGTCACATTTGCCTCTGCAACCTGGTAGGCCAAAAACTCAGTTAGGAAAGAGTGGTTATCTTAAACATGTGTGAAGACAATAGAGGCGGATATTAATCAGGTCGGATGAAAAACATTCAGATACTAGAGGGCGTGTCTAAATGTGGTTCAAGGTGAAGTTTGTTACTCTGACGTAGACGGTTTTTCAAATATACATTGTAAGCATAGTCAGGCTGCAGTGCGTAGCGGTAACATCGGTGGTCCCGCATTGTTTCGAACTAAAAATGACAGTAACTGCATGATTACGGCAACAAGAGGTTTAGCTGACCCTGCCTTTTTTCTGGGGCGAATTTTGGAAATTGTTTAAATGGTTGACAATTACTTGGTATTTAAAAATACACCATGTGAAGCCGAGCAAAAATCATGGGTCATATTTACAGGAAGCATAGGAACAGGTAATTTAAATTGTAAAACAAGGTGACTGTCGCTTGAGTGGCATCGCAAGTGAGTTTTGTACTAAAATCTCAGGACAGGAACTCTTCTATAAGTAAGAAGTATTAAGCAATCAACGCATTTTTATAAAATGCAGTATTTTATAAGCAGTGACACTAAATTTGAGAGAGCTTACTTTTTGTTGCGGAATCATCTTCCGGCTCTCCCTGAGGTGTTGGGTGCATGGGATAATAGTACAGACTTTTCAGCGAGAACCGATTTGGACCAAAACTTGGGGATGCCGTAGGAGGTGAAGTGTGCGTCGTCGTTCCTCTCAAATAGGACACTATGTTTTGCATTTTTAATGCATCTGCTAGTGAGAAAATACCTGGTGAAGGACCGTACATTGGCTGATTTCGTCGAAAACCAGTAGTTGTCGGGCTTTCAGAATTTCCATGAATATCATGGATTTCCTCCTTAAGACGTTGTGCTCTTATTTTCCCAACGAGCGCGGGTCTGTTGAAGCCTACAGTATGTGTCGTTTCAGGATTTTGCTTATCTTTTATCATCATTTGCTCTTCCTTATGGTGAAAAAGCTGCTGTTTGTCTTTGACTGTTGCAGGTTTTTCTGCTGTCAGCGGTTCGTCCGTTGTTATAACCAATCCTTTATGATCATGATACCTACGAGTCGACGTTCTATTTGCACTGGACTTTGAACCCTGGACACTTCTATCAGGTTTATCTGTATACTTGTCATTTCCTGCATTTGAAAAAGCAGTTCTAATTTTTTCTTGGCGTACAACATGTTGCTCATTATAGTTGTGTTCTTTATCACTTTTGCCACTCGTTTGCTGATTCTGTTCAGGTGCTCTATTGACATGGCCTACTTTTTCACTTTTTGAATGTCCCACAATTTCAGCGGTAGGAAAACCAAGTTTACTTCCTTCCTTTTCACCGACACCTTCCTTGGAGATGTTATTCGCACTTTCACTGTTTGTATCAAGTTTATCTTCCTTTACCTGTTTGCTACTGCCTGAGCGTTCCGGTTCATTTCGAGACATAAATTCTTTGATTTCATTGGTAATCCTTTCCTCTAGCCTGGCAAAGCTTTCGTCCAATGAACCGTCGTTGTTTCTTTGGTCTTCTTCTTTGTGACTATTGATTTCTCCTGGAGTTTTATCCTTAATTCCCTGCATTTTGTCACTTTTAGAGACACTTTTAGTCTTTAAGCCTAAATTTTTCTGATCGGTACCAACGTCTTTAGCTTCCGTGGTTTCTCTCTGTCCTTTTGTACCATCTTTTTCACCGGCTTTACCTCTTATAGCGCTATTACCATAGTCGTCATCATTTTTCTTGTTGTTGTTTTTGGAAACCGTAGTGTTTTCTTCTTTATTTTTACTCGTGCTCTGAGTTTTACTTCCACCGTCCTTTTGAATTTCATTTTGACTTTTATTTTCATTGTCATTATCGTGATTTTGATTTTCACTGGCATTGTTATTATCAGTTTCATTTTCACTTTGATTTTCGCTGCCGTTATCACTTCGATATTTATTGGCGGCACTTGCTTCATCAGTTTGACTTTCATTTGCCATTTCATTTTTATTTGTCTCAACTCTTCCATTTTCTTTGTCATCTCCTGTTTCACTATAAGTTTCGCTTTCATCTTCATCCTTTTGTTCATGTTTACTTTCACTTTCATTTCCGCTTTCATCATCAGTTCTCTCGTTTGTATTTGAAATTGTGTTTTCGTCGTGGGAGATAGATTCATCTTCACGATCATCTTCTTTTTCACTATTGTCTACAGTGTTTCCAAATTCATTGTGTTGTTCATCAACGTTCCCTAAAATATTATCGGATTCGTCGAAGTTCCCACCGTCATCAACATTTTGAAAGTCTTCTAGTTCCTTGAACAGGTTTGCATCTTGGTTTCTAACTCGTTGCTTGAGATTTGTCATTGACGTTTCTTGTGAGTTATTATCGTCGCTATCTCTGTTAAAGTCCTTGTATTTCGCATTATCAGTGTCATCGTTAACGTAATCGTCTTGAAGTTCATCGGAATTGAAGTCATTGTCTTGATCATTGTCGTTATCATTCCATTGGGTTTTTTCTGCGTGGCGATGTCTTTGTGTTTTGATGCTTGTGTCGTCTGATGGAGACAACTTGTCACCAGCATCATGGCTGTAGTATCCCACGCCATTATGAGATGAAGCGTGGTGTCTTTTGCTCCCATAATTCTTGTGATTAAGAAGCGAATTGTTGTCATTCCCAGTTTCACTCTTATCATCCTTATTGGTAGCAAAATTGTCTGAATCCTCCAACAAACTACTGTCTTCATATGATTTGACATTAAAGTCGTTAGGGTCTTTCATTATCCAATCTATCGCTTCTTGATTCGCATTAAAATCTGCTTTAGTTTCCGATTTATATTCAGGCATGCTCTGTAAATCTAATCCTCCGTTTTCATCGCTTTTGTCGGATACCGATGCATGATCAATCCCATTTTGGTACCGCAGCTCATTATTGGATGGATATTCCTCGTCTTCTAAGGTGACATCCAATGGACGAAAGTCTTCTATTCCATTTTTCTGAAGCATCACTAATGAAAGAAGAAAAGTAAATATGGGCAACTTTCCACTGAAATAGGAAATCCCAAAATTTCGTTTGGAAAATCAAATGGTTCACGCCATTCGTTTGGGGAAGTTTTAGAAGACATGTACTTTCACAAGGTATTATTGGTCTCTATTTCTGCGCATTTTTAAAATGAAATTTGTAATTCTGTCGAAATTTGTTTTGGCAACCCTTTTTTTACAGAAAGATTTAAGGACATGTGTTACTTTGCACTTTAAGAGCTAACTGCAAAACTGTTCCTAAATCCGCCTCTGTTAAAGGAGAAGCCAGAATGTACATTAAAAACTTACTTCCCTCAGCTTTACTGTCCTCGAGTAGTTTTGGTTTGACAAATGCGTTCAAGTATCGAAGGTCATGTGGAGTTATTCGACTGTCAAGGATAACCAGATCTGCATGCATCATAGACAAGATTGATGAAGAGAATGTTAAAGGTTAGAAACAGAAGTATTAAAAGAGATCAAAAGTGGCCGGATTTAGGTCTATGAAAGAATAGGGTTTTTCTGCTTCGTAGTGGGCAACCTCTCTCAGGATAACCTTTAAACAGGCTTTTGTAGGGGAGAGGTTGAGCAAACCAAGCTGAGAGTTTTCCTTGCTCTATCCCTCACTATCCCAGCGAGCCTGCTGACATGTCGATAATCTTATATTTGGTAGATTAAGGGCAATCTCTTGTCTTGGGCGATGCGGGTTTCGGGAGATTACTCATAGGCTGTTACTCAGTTAAAGGGTGCCCGTGTCATTGTTATATTGCAGCCTTGTCAGACACACTAACCTTGAAGGGGTGTTCCTTTGTGAATGATCTCAACCTTCCTTCTGCCAATCCGCACCCCTGCAAAAGATAAGGTTCGAATAAGGTCGGCTAAACTGTAGAAAGTTAATATAAAAATCCACTATATAACGAAGTCCTCAGTGTAGCGTACGATATTCTTGTTATAGTAAAATGTATGGGAAAGGACCCAGTGGTCGATATACCAAAGGCTCGTTATGGAAAACATATTTTGCCAGTCCCTTCACCCTTTGTTATCAATATAGATATTCTACTGGAACGGGGATGGAACAGTGGCGGATCTAGGGGAGGGCTCCCCCTTATTTTTAGACCAAAGATAGATAGATAGATAGATAGATAGATAGATAATCTTTATTTATTCACGGTACAAAATTCGTCAGCTTTAAAAATGCCTAATACTAATATAATAAAAATATTTAAATAAAAAAGCTGCTTTCCACGAATGCCGTGCCTTACAGTTCTTTGAGTAATCGTTTAAATTGCCCAAGGGACTCTGCTTCCCTTAAGTTACAAGGAAGACTGTTCCAGAGAATGGCGCCACTATAGCTGAAGCTGTTTTTGTAATAGTTTGTGCGCGGTAATGGAATATTGAGTTTATTTTCAGAGTCCCTTAGGTTATATGCGACTTCTCGCCTTTCAAATTTAGAACTAAGATAGTTTGGAGCCAACCCGTGCAGAGACCTGTAAACCATCGTAGCTCTTTGAAATTGTTGCTGGCAAGCTAGGTTTTTCCACCCTAGAAGTTTGAAAAGGTGACCAGCATCTACGTCATAGCTTGAGTAGGTCAAAACACGGGCTGCTCTGTTTTGTAGCTTTTGAACCTTATTCCGTAAGGTTATCCCCAGTTTCCCCAAACAATGTTGCAATAATCAAAGTGTGGCTGTATTAAAGCTTGATATATTAGTTGTAAGGTCGCCTGAGGGACAAGGTGCCTTATTCGTTTTATGGCCCCAATACCAGAAGCGACTTTCTTTGTTACTTTCTCGATATGGCCACTCCAATCAAGTCTGTCATCGATGGTCACTCCAAGTGATTTTGCAGTAGTGACCTGGCTAACTTCAAAATCATCAATTGCAAATGTCGGGGACTCTGTGAGAGTACTTAGCCTCTGCCTAGAACCGATAAGCATAAATTCGGTTTTAGTCATATTTAGAGTAAGTTTGTTTGCTCTCAGCCAATTGTGAACATTTTCTAAATCTTGATTTAGATGCAACTGAATATTGTCTGCATTATCACCTGCGTACGTAAGGTGGGTGTCATCAGCGTACATCCTCGGCTCACAGTTTGAAAGACAGTTTGGAAGATCGTTGATGTATAACAGAAATAATAATGGACCTAAAATCGTCCCCTGGGGTACACCACAACTTAATAAACAGCTTTGAGAGAGCGATCCGTTGATGGAGCACATTTGAGTACGATTCTCTAAATACGACTTAAACCATTGGTGCGCGTTACCATATATGCCGTAATTGCTTAATTTTGATAAAAGGATCTCATGGTCAACTGTGTCGAAGGCCTTTTTGAGATCTAAGAAAACAACGGCGTTGATTTTACCGCGGTCAATATTGTACGCCCAAGTGTCCGTGGCCTCAAGGAGAGCCGTGACAGTTGAGTGAATAGCGCGAAAGCCTGATTGATATTTACAGATTATATTGTGCTCTTCTAGGTAGGCATATAATTGATCATAGACGATTCTTTCAAAGACCTTGGCCATAACTGAGATCACCGAAATTGGACGATAATTGTTTAAGTCGTCCCGATCGCCTTGTTTAAAAAGTGGGGTGACCTTTGCGCATTTCCAGTCATCCGGAAATATGCCTTGACTTATTGACTGGTTAAAAATATCACGGATAGGAATGCAAATGAGATCTGCACATTCCCGAATGAGCCTAGCAGATATCTTGTCAAGGCCAGCTGCCTTTGACTTGTTTAGACGATTCAAAAGTGAGAGAACTTTATTTGTACTGGTCGGATGGAGCTGAAACCGTTTATCTGTGCCAGTGAGGTACTTTTGATAACCATCACTATTTGAGGAATCAATATTGCTAGCAAGTTCTGGACCGATAGTAGCAAAGTGATTATTAAATTGGTTCGACAGCACAGTTGGATTTGTTATTGATACTCCATTTACTTTCAGAGATGTCACCGATTTTTTCCCAGATTTTCGCGAAGTAAGTTCATTGATAGTCTGCCAGGTCTTTTTAGAATCGCCCGTATGCTTGTTAAAACTATTTTGATAATAGGCTTGCTTGGCTAATCTGATTTCGCTATTTACTTTATTGCGTTGTTTTTTAAAAAGTGACCAGTCATTTGAATCATTCGATTTACTTGCTTTAATCTTTAGAATATCCCGATCATGCATTCGTTTCTTAAGCTCAGATGTAATCCATGGGGAACTACGCGTGCGAACACGCATTGTCCTCAAGGGAGCATGCTTGTTAACAATAGATAGAAACGAGCATTTCCATTGTAGCCACATTTGATTGGGATCAGTTGAATTGTATATGTGATCCCAACAATGAGATGCAATATCATTCCGAAAATTTATTCGATTAAATTTTCGAAAGTTTCTGTAGGTTATAGCATTGTGCCCACCAGACATTCCATTCACGGATAATTTTCGATAGGCAAAAACTATGCTATGATCGCTAATACTGATATGACGAACCCCCGAACACACAACTTTATCTGGACAATTAGTATAGATTACATCAATCAAAGTTGCAGAAGTCGGAGTTATTCTGGTTGGTTCAGTGATAAGTTGCTGTAGACCATAAATATCAGTGATATTCATTAATTTGCATGTATTATTGTCATATCGAGTAGCAATCATGTCGCAGTTAAGGTCTCCCATTAGAAAATATTCAATATTTTCGGAATCGAGTTTCCCAATTAAAGTTTCGAAAGGTGAAAAAATACCAATAGGAGAATCAGGTGGTCTATACCACGTGGCAACAACAAACGGTTTAGATCTAGGTTTTTGAATTTCCAGACATAGATTTTCAAGAGTGTCCATGTTTAAATCATTTCGTATGGTAAAATTTATTGAACTTTTCACATAGAAACACACTCCTCCTCCACCGTTTGTAATTCTATCACGTCGAATTATATCATAGCCAGAGATGTTGACCTCATTGTCGCTAATAGTTTCATTGAGCTTAGTTTCATTAATCGATAAAATATCTATTTCGTTATGCGCTAGAAGAATTCTAAGTTGATCTATGTGTGTGATTAATTTATTGATATTTAAAGAGGCTAATTTAAAACCTCGTTGAGATGGCAACACTGAGGTAGGCTCATGAGATTCCTCAGTATTGCGTTTTGTACATTGAATAGGCACGGCATCGGTGGATAGCGCATCATTTCAACCTAAACTCATCTGAAAGTTCTTAAAAAACTGTTGATTACCTTTAAAATTAAGATGTAGTCCGCCCTTGTTAAGTTCCTTTTCGGAGATGTTTTGATGCTGAGGCCGAAGGGCCGAAAAAAGTTTTTGAGACGGCACCCCCCCTCCTTTATCTCAGGGTCAGGATGACCGGCCCTATCTTATGTGAATATCTGGATCTGCCACCGTGGAATCCAAGCAAGTAAAACACCAGACTGAAGCAAGTTCTTGATTAAGTAAAATGTTGCTTACCAGTTACACAGTGAAGTTCGAAGGCGTTTAATAAAAACACAGCGAGAACTGCGGCAAAAGGATTCATTCGAGCCATTCTTTCTGAAACAGTATAAAGCGGATAACTCTTACCTAGTATCATATGTTTTACGACCTTTAATTTGAAGCATTATTAACTGTCATTCGATAAAATAGATAAAGGAATCGATATTTTGGTGTCTCGAAGATTGAAATTAAAATCAAATTTATGTAGTAGCTGATCTCCTCTGTAGCCTACGCATGCGCACCTTGAAGCATGAAAATGATTTTAGGAAAAATTATTACGTTCGCTCTAAAGGGTTAAGTGAGAAGAAGAGGAAGTATTTAATTTCCAAATAATACTGACTTCGTTTGAGCTGCTTACTTAATGAGCGACAGAATGTTACAAACTACGGGTAACTACATTTACTTTCTTTATCATTGACGGCTGCCTCAATTCCGGTAGCGATTTTCAATTTTTTAGATACACGCCAATCCTTTGGGCAAGTCATCATAACTGTTTGATGGCAAGAGCAGAATTCTGGAGGAACTGAAAATTAACTGCAATTAAATAAAGTTAATAGCAATAAAGGCAGTTTTGATTTTTGTTTTGATTTATGTAAACAGCTCGGACTTGATAAGATCGCATAATTTTGTTAGTTTAACGTTAAATAGATGCACTTACTTTGTGTTCCACTGAGCGAAACACTCGCTTAACCCATTAGTGATATTTCCTTAAATCAAATCGCCAACCGAGGTTGCCTCGACCATCGATGTTAGAGATTCAAAACGGTGTTTGATAAATAGTTAATAAACTCTTTTCTTGTCTCGTTTCAGTCTCGTATTCAAGATTCTTCCTTGTGCTCGCGATGAAAAGAATTGACGCGGGTGTCGATATTATTTTTGTGAATTATTTGTTGCTATTAATAAGGCTTCGTTAAAGTTAAGTGTTTTCTCTCAATTTTTAAAATCTGAATTTTA